AGTTAAGTGTGTTTAGTAGCCATGAAAAGATAACCATTAATGGCAATGATGAAACACTATAGAACCTTTAAAAACACTGGATGGGAGGGAAAAAGACACTTGATCAAGGTGGCAAAATAAAATGGGAAAAAGTGAAAAAAGCGAAGTCTATAATAAATAATAGACACCAATAAAAGGGATAAGGTGAACATTGCAGTTGTTCCAATAATTGCAAAAATGTCGAATTTACCTATCAAAGAAAAATAACTTCATACTGGCTGTAAAACTCAGCTAGCTGTGATTCATCTAACTCAGCTAAGAGATGTTGTTCACCTGCTAAAACACTTAAAACAGAGTGAACATCTAGGCTGGCTGTGGTGGCTCATGCCTGTAATCCCAGCGCTTTTCGAGGCCAAGACAGGCAGATCACCTACGGTCAGGAGTTAGAGACCAGCCTGGCCAACATGGTGAAACCCCATGTCTACTAAAAATACCAAAATTAGCTGGGTAATCCCAGCTACTCGGGAGGCTGACACAGAAGAATCACTTGAACCCAGCAGGCAGAGGTTGCACTGAGCCAAGATCGTGCCATTGCACTCCAGCCTGGGTGACAGAACAAGACTCTGTACAAAAAACAAAACAAAACAAAACAACCAAAGTGAACATCTAACAACAAAAATGTTATTCACAATCTACAAATATTGTTAAAATATTTCAGAATATGGCCGGGCGTAGTGACTCACGTCTGTAATCCAAGCACTTCGGAGGCCAAGGCAGGAGGATCACCTGAGGGCAGGAGTTCAAGACCTGCCTGACCAACATGGTGAAACCCTGTTTAAAAAAAAATTTTTTTCAGAATATATCTAACAAGACATGTGCAAGATATGTATGAAAAATGCTATAGGAGGCAGGCGCAGTGGTTCACGCCTGTATTCCCAGCACTTTGGGAGGCCAAGGTGGGTGGATCACTTAAGGTTAGGAGTTAGAGACCAGCCTGACCAATATAGTGAAAACCCATCTGTACAAAAATATGAAAATTAGCTGGGTATGGTGGCGTGCTCTTGTAGTTCCAGCTTCTTAGAAGGCTGAGTCAGGAGAATTGCTTGAACTTGGGGGATGGAAGTTGCAGTGAGCTGAGATCATGATGCTGCACTGCAGTCTGGGAGAGGTGCAGCCTGGGAGGCACAGCAATACTCCGGTCTCAGAAAAGAAAAAAAGAAAAATGCTATAGGGCTGGGTGCGGTGGCCCATGCCTATAATCCCATCACTTGGGAAGCTTGAAGTGGGAGGATCCCTTGAGCCTAGGAGACCCTTTCTCTACAAAAACTTAATAAAATTAGCTAGGCGTAGTGGTACAGGCCTGTGGTCACAGCTCCTCAGGCACTTGAGGTGGGAGCATCACTTCAGCTGGAGAAGGTGAGGCTGCAGTGAGCTGTGACTGTAGCATTGCACTCCAGGCAAAGAAGCAAGACCCTGTCTCAAAAAAAATAAATAAATAAAACTATGTATTCTGATTGTTTTATTTTCCTATTTCTGTGGTGATAAATAACCACAATCTTAGTGGCTTAAAGCAACTCAAATTTAATATCTCATTGTTCTTTTTTCCTTTTTTTTGAGACGGCATTTTGCTCTGGTTGCCCAAGCTGGTTAAATCAAGGTGTCAGCCACATTTTGTTTCTTTTTGCAGGCTCTGTGGAAGAGCCCCAAAACTTTTGTATCCAGGTGTTGGCCAAATTCAGTTCTATAATGTAGGATCGAGGTCTGTTTCCTGGAGATCAGCTGTAAGCCACCATTAGCTCCTAAAGTTCTCTCTTTGCCCTTGCACAAAAGCTCCTACATTTCAGAGGCAGCAACAGGAATTCTTCTCATGCTTTGACTCCCTCCTGAGATTAGATTGGGTCCACCCAGATACTTCAGGATAATCTCATCTCCAGGTCCTTAACCTTAATTACATCTGTATAATTCCTTTTGCCACCCTAAGGTAACATATTCACAGGTTCCAGGAAATTAAGGCATGGACACGTTTGGGAGGCCATTGGTTTGCTTACCATAATGAAGGACATAAACAAAAAAAGGACTTAAATGGCACATTTAAAACTTGTCACATTCGGCTGGACACAGTGGCCCATGCTTGTAATCCCAGCACTTTGGGAGGCCAAGGTGGGTGGATCACCTAAAATCAGGAGTTAGAGACCAGCCTGGCCAACATGGCAAAACCCTATCTATACTAAAAATACAAAAATTAGCCAGACATGGTGGCACACAGCTATAATCCCAGCTACTCAGAAGGCTGAGGAAAGAATATTGCTTGAACCCGGGAGGCGGAGGTTGCGTGAGCCAAGATCGCACCATTGCATTCTAGCCTGGGCAACAGAGCAAGACTCTGTCTCAAAAGAAAAAAAAAGGGGGGGGGGGACTGGGCACAGTGGCTCATGCCTGTAATCCCAGCACTTTGGGAGGCCAAGGCGGGCAGATCATGAGGTCAAGAGATCGAGACCATCCTGGCCAACATGGTGAAACCCTGTCTCTACTAAAATACAAAAATTAGCTGGGCATCATGGCACTTGCTTGTAGTCCCAGCTACTCTGGATGCTGAGGCAGAATTGCTGGAACCTGGGAGTTGGAGGTTGCAGTGAGCTGAGATCATGCCACTGCACTCCAGCCTGGTGCCTGGCAACAGAGCAAGACTCTATCTCAAAAAAAAAAAAAAGGAAGGTGAGATCCTTTGCAGACTTTAACTCAGGTAGACTGTGTATGTTTTTGAGACAAATACACCAGCATTCTGCACCAAGGCAAAGTAATGTTTCCCACTGTTTCCAAAATCCTGTTAATATCCAGGATTTGCTGGGCACAGGGGCTCATCCCTGTAATCCCAGCACTTTGGGAGGCTGAGGCAGGCAAATCCTTTGAAGTCAGGAGTTTGAGACCAGCCTGGCCAACGTGGCAAAAGCCTGTTTTTATTAAAAATACAAAAATTAGCAGGGCTTAGTGATGCATGTCTGTAACCCCAGCTACTTGGGACATTGAGGCACAAGAATCGCTTGAACCTGGTATACAGAGATTGCAGTAAGCCCGAGATTGCATCACTGCACTCCAGCCTGGGCACCAGAACGAGACTGTCTTAAAAAAAAAACAAAAAAAAAAAACACCAGGGTTTTTCTGGTCACCATTTTTTAAGCACACATTTGACTGATACTGTGAACTGTCTACAGAGACTCCTTCCATCCTTTCCTATTCATAACCATGTGCAAGCCCAGACCCAGAAAGTCTAAAGTCCTGCCTGCCTTGGCTGATCCCACCCCACCCCACCCCCTTCTTTTCAAGGACCTGTCTCCTTGGCCCCAACTGTTGTGGGAATTGACAGCAAGGCCTCCAGGCCTCTCAAAACTCCCGACATCTGATGTCAATTAGGCCAGCACTCCTTTCCACATTCTTATCTAATCATCCCCACTTGTCCAGTTCACCTGTTAGGCCAAGATATCTTAGCAAAATTATCTGCCACACTTTTCATTATATACTGCAAAAATCCAGGGCTTTGCGGTTGGGATTCTTACACAGGAGCCAGGCCCACGGCCTGTAGGCTTTTTATCCAGACAACTTACCTAACAGTCCTGGGCTGGCCCTCATGACTAACGCACAGCAGCAGCTGCCGCCCTAACACTCTTAAAATCCCTCAAAATCACAGGCTATGCCCCATTTACCCTCCAGCTCTCACAGCCTCCAAAGTTTTCTCTTTACACACTTATTTTCAGCCCCTCGTCCTCTCCACTTTTATGCAGTCGCCCCTACTACTTAAACCGCACCTCAAAAAGTCTGTTTCTATTATCTTCTGTCTAACCGTGCTCAAATTCACTACACATTTACTGTTACATGCCCTGCTTTTGTTTAAGTTGCCAGCTTACACTTTTCCTCCAGGCAATTACAGCTAATATTTCACTCTTTTTTTTTTTTTTGAGACGGAGTTTCGCTCTTGTTACCCAGGCTGGAGTGCAATGGCGCGATCTCGGCTCACCGCAACCTCTGTCTCCTGGGTTCAGGCAATTCTCCTGCCTCAGCCTCCTGAGTAGCTGGGATTACAGGCACGCACCACCGTGCCCAGCTAATTTTTTGTATTTTTAGTAGAGACGGGGTTTCACCATGTTGACCAGGATGGTCTCGACCTCTTGACGTCGTGATCCACCCGCCTCGGCCTCCCAAAGTGCTGGGATTACAGGCGTGAGCCACCGCTCCCGGCCCTGTTTACACTCTTACACCAAACAGTTTTTGGAAGAGATAATCTCAGACTTCATTCTTTCTCCTAGATTAAAGATCAATTGTCTTTGTTTTGTCTCGAGCTAGTCGAAACGTAAGTAAAACACCTTTTCCACGTTAATACTGCATTCTCAGGGATCTTGGGGTGTCCCGGGAGGGCGCGGTCTTCTTCCTGGAGGGGTGTGGATGCAGGGATGTGGGCGCCTTCTCCCGGCGCGGCGGGACCAGGACAGGAAGAAGCCAAGAAGGGTACGGGGACGCTCAGCCCGAATCTGCGGCTTGCCGGTAGGTGGCGGCTACGACCCAGTGGGCACAAGCCACTCAGACCGCCAGGGCTCCAAGCCCTCTCCAGCCTGCAGCCATTCCTCTCCCAGCCCCACCACCCCCTGCCGGGGACTAACATTCAGCACCGCCGGGGCAGTGAGGCCAGAGCCTGGTGTAGCGCCCCGCGGGGATATTCCATCTTTAAAATTTTCTGGTGAGCCGGTGAATCATGCAATTATCTCAAATATGAAAAAAAAGAAAAAGAGAAAAAAAAAAAAAAAGCCAAGGGCGACGGGACACCCGGATGTACCAAGCACCGCTCTCTGGAGCCCCACCGCACATGCGCACCCTGTGGGCGTTGACGCGGGGGATAGGGCGGGGCTTGGGGGGGGGAGGGAAGAGGCAGGGCGGTGATTGGGCGAGAGGAGAGCCACGCCCTCGGAGCACCGTCTCTGCGCATGAGCCGGGACCAGCTTCTGGTACTTTCGAGAAGTCTGTTGACTTACCGTCTCAGTGCGCGTACCGGACGTCGGAGGTGGAGGTTGTGGAATTCGTTCTTCGAGAGAATTCACGAAAAGCCGCTTTCCGTCCTACATTCCTAAAGGAAGGCGTGTGTTGGGCCTTTCTTTCAGTCGTGAGGGAGGCGTCGACAGCCTGTGGTAAGTTTTCTGCTGACAGGGTCGACCTTTCAGTGGTCGCTCAGGAGTGAGGGTCAGGAGACGTGCCGGGCCCTCTATTTGGGGAAGGCAGCATTTCGATTTTGGGCTGCGGCGTCAGTGCGCTGAACGAAGTTTTTTTTTTTTTTTTTAAGATGGGGTTTCACCGTGATGGCCAGGCTGGTCTTGAACTCCTGACCTCAGGTGATCCACCCACCTCGGCCTCCCAAAGTGCTAGGGTTACAGGCGTGAGCCACCGCGCCTGGCCTGAACGGAGTTTTTAGGGCTCCCTTCGCGGCTCCGCTGCCTGCGCGTTGGCTCCGCCTCCGGGAGGGCGTCTTGCTGTGGCTTCCGGGCAGCCGAGCGTCTACTTCCGGGACTCGATTTGTTTTTTTCCTCTTGCTTTTTTAGGAAGTCTTGAGTTGAGGCTTGCGGGATCTTTTCCCGAGAAAGCGCAGGGTAAAGCCGCAGGTGAAGATGTCCAACTACGTGAACGACATGTGGCCCGGCTCGCCGCAGAAAGATTCGCCCTCAGCCTCGCGGTCGGGTGGGTCCAGCCGGCTGTCGTCGCGCTCTAGGAGCCGCTCTTTTTCCAGAAGCTCTCGGTCCCATTCCCGCGTCTCCAGTCGATTTTCGTCCAGGAGTCGGAGCCGGAGCCGGAGGAGCCGGTCAAGGTCCTGTTCCAGAAGGCGCCACCAGCGGAAGTACAGGCGCTACTCGCGGTCATTTTCGCGGAGCCGGTCGCGATCCCGCAGCCACCGGTACCAAGAGAGGCGCTACGGGCTGTCTAGGAGATACTACCGGTCTCCTTCGCGGTACCGTTCCCGGTCCCGTTCCCGTAGCAGGTCGCGCTCTCGGGGAAGGTCGTACTACGGAAGGGCGTACGCAATCGCGCGGGGGCGGCGCTATTACGGCTTCGGTCGCACAGTGTACCCGGAGGATTACGGCAGATGGAGGGACAGATCCAGGACGAGGTCGCGGAGCAGAACCCCCCTTCGCTTAAGTGAAAAAGGTGCGTCACTTATCTTTCCATTTTTGATAATCTATGGCTAGGGACGGTATAAAAGGAGGCTAAGGAACCAAAATTGCCTTGTAGTTTCAGTATTAGTTCCCGAAATCTTTTTCATCGTAGGAAAAGGGGAGGACATTATCTGTATGTAAATGGACAGCATTCTTTACCTTTAAAATTCAACTGGATGTTAAATGGTTCAGGATGGAGGGAACCTATTTTCCTAGTGGCTGACTGTTCTTAGTGGGTGGAGCCTTCTAAATGTTATTATTAAGTTAAAGTTTCTAAGATAATTATTGATTGGGAAGAACAATATGAAAACACGCCTTTGGCCGGGCGCGGTGGCTCACGCCTGTAATTCCAGCACTTTGGGAGGCCGAGGCGGGTGCATCACGAGGTCAAGAGATCGAGACCATCCTGGTCAACATGGTGAAACCCCGTCTCTACTAAAAAAATACAAAAATTAGCTGGGTATGGTGGCGCACGCCTGTGGTCCCAAGTACAGGGGAGGCTGAGGCAGAATTGCTTGAACCTGGGAGGCGGAAGTTGCAATGAGCCAAGACTGCGCCACTGCATTCCCGCCTGGCAACATAGCAAGACTCCGTCTCAGTTTAAAAAAAAAAAAAAAAAAAGACAGATGTTATTATTGAACAAAATTGAATTGTCCAGTATCTTAAATGACTTACCAGGTCGGGGTGGCTAGTGTCTGTAATCCCAGCATTTGGGGAGGCGGAGGTGGGAGGTCACTTGAGACCAGGCGTTCCAGACCAGCCCGGCCGACATAGTGGAGACCCTATCTGTATTAAAAATACAAACTATTAGCCGGAGTGGTGGTGGAAATACACTTTGGAAGTGTATCAGTATTGGTTCAGTAGTTGTGATAATTGTACCATATAAAGAATATTGTTGCAGAAAACCCCGGTTTTCAGAAATAGACGTTTGAAGAGAAAGAAAATAATAATGACGTTGACTATTAACTAGAGAAAATTACGTACAACGGAAATACAGACAAAATAACAGGACATTCAGGCCTTTGGTCAGGAAAACTGAAATTGAGATAATTTAAGAATTTTATTCTTTTCAGCAGAGGTAGAGAATAGAATTTTCAGTGAAAGTTACACAGTTACCCCTCCGTTTCTTCGGGGGATTGGTTGCAGGACCAATATGGAACTTCCGCACACTTGAGGTTTCCAGTTTCTCAAATACTGTAGTACTTCGCCTGCATTTAGGAGGAGGAAAGCATCCAAGTATAAGTGGACCAGCACAGCTCAAACCAGAGCAACCTTACTTTGTAATTCTGAGTTCTCTTGGGGGGAAATAACTACCAGGTTAATGAGTGTTTAAATTGATTTTTCTTTTTAGATCGAATGGAGCTGTTAGAAATAGCAAAAGCCAATGCAGCGAAAGCTTTAGGAACAACGAACATTGAATTGCCAGCTAGTCTCAGAACTGTTCCTGTAGCCAAAGAAACAAGCCGTGGAACAAGTTTATCAAGTAATGGTGCAAAGCCCGAAGTAAGTATTCTAGGTTTGTCCTAACAAAACCTTAAGAAAGCCACTGTCAAATCTGATTAGCCATTTATTATTTATTTACCTTAGACTATACTTTTTGGAAAGTCTAGCTATATATGTAAAACGTGTTGAATTCTGAGTAGCAGATCTGAAGATAGGCAAAGCCATACCCAGGAAAGTGGAGATTAATGAACTTAATTGGCCGTGTGTGGTGCCTCATGCCTGTAATGAGGCAGATAGCTTGAGTCCAGGAGTTCAAGATCAGCCTGGACAACGTGGCTGCGTCTTTACAAAAAATACAAAAATGGTGGCACATGACTGTAGTCTCAGCTGTTTGGGAGGCTGAGGCGGAAGGATGTTTCAGCCCAGGTTGCAAGGTTGCACCATTGTACTCCAGCCTGGGCAGCAGAGCGAGACCCAGTCTGAAAAAAAATTTTTTGTTTTACTTTTTTTCAGTTAACACAGTACTGCTAGTCTCAACGTTAATATATTGTAGTTGGTACTTTGGTGATTTCTATTGCCAGTTTTTTAAAGTTAGTCTTTAGAGTATTTGTAGCTTTTATTTGCAGCATTATGTTCCCACAAATTTTGTACTCAGCATATACAGTATAGTTTATCTGCTTTATTTCTGTCTTATAGAAATCATGAATGTGGTCTGCAGACATTGATGAAGAAAATCTGTTGGTAATTTGATACATGGGCTAAAGCATCAGGTTTAACTTGAAATTTATGTTCACACACTGAAAGCTTAGTTTTTTTTGTTTATCCATGTGCATGCTAGAATTTGGGACAGGTACCATTTGCCTAAAGTATTAAAGTCAATTTTTAAATTAAGTAAAGGTACACATTGTAATGGTGGGGCATCTGTGAAGTAGATGTCCCTTTCATAATATATGCAATATATTCCAGATGTTTTGAGAGATTACAGAAGAGGAGGCCTGCTTCACTTGCAGATAAGTTTATTATAATTCTCCAGAAATGTGCAGGATGTGCATTAGCAAATTGCACTGTACTTTTAAGTTATAAAGATACTCTGTCTAGGCTGGGTGGCTCACACCTATAATCCCAGCACTTTGGGAGGCCGAGATGGGTGGATCACCAGAGGTCAGGAGTTTGAGAACAGCCTAGCCAACATGGCAAAACCTTGTCTCTACTAAAAATACAAAGATTGCAGCGAGGTGCAGTGGTTCACGCCTGTAATTCCAACACTTTGGGGAGGCCAAGGCAGGTGGATCATGAGGTCCGGAGATGGAGACAATCCCTGGCGAACATCATGAAACCCCATCTCTACTAAAAATACAAAAATTAGCTGGGCGTGGCAGCCTGTAGTCTCAGCTATTTGGGAGGCTGAGACAGGGGAATAGCTTGAACCTGGGAGGCAGAGTTTGCAGTGAGCCACGTTCATTGCACCACTGCACTCCAGCCTTGGGACAGAGTGAAACGCCCTCTTAAAACCAAAACAGAAACCAAAAATTACCCGGGCGTGGTGTGTGCCTGTAGTCCCAAATAATGGGGAGGCTGAGGTGGGAGAATCACTTGAACCCAGTAAGTGGAGGTTGCAGTGAACCAAGATCATGCCACTGTACTCCATCCAGCCTGATTAGCAGGGCACAGTGAAACTTTGAGGGAAAAAAAGATTCTACGATATCTAAATGAACCTGTAATTGGGCCCAGATGTGAGTATGCTCAGTATTAGTAGACATGGTCTGTCTTGTTTGTTCAGATGATTAGGGGCCCAACTGGCAAATACCTTAATTTCTTAAAACTAGGTATTTTCTGGTGTGACTTTACTTTTCAAAAGTTAACTTGATTCAACTTGAGAAAACTGATTAAAAAATTGTTCTTTAAATTACTTAAATTTGCCAGCAAGGAAATAAAATAATTATGGGAAGAGTGTCTTAAGCCTATTAAATCAGTTTTGTTAAGGGGAAAACTCGGTTGTTACTTAGGCTGCTAAATATATGATTAGATCCAACTTGATTTTTGTGTCTACAACTAAATTTTTTATACAATGAGACTATTTTTTAATACTGTACTTAGAAACCAAGGTTGTGTGTTTTAAAATTGTACTTTTTCTTAACCTGTCTAGCTGTCAGAAAAGGTAACAGAAGATGGAACTAGAAATCCCAATGAAAAATCTTCCCAGCAAAGAAGCATAGCTTTTAGCTCTAATGTAAGTATTAAGTATGTCGAAGCATTGATCACTCAAAAATTGGATTTAGGATATATTTGCATCTTTGTATTTTATATCTTCGTGGTGATAATTGGGGGACTACTGACACTTTAAATAGAATTAAAATCCTTTGTCTTTGAGCCACTTTTACAAGTAACCATTATAATGGGTTCATACCATAGCTTTCACATGAGTTTTGTTATTTTGCCATTGTTTTAAGTAGCCCCCACTTTATTGTTGAGATATTTTAAAGATAATCTTCAGAATACTGCTTAATCAGAATGTTTTAAAATAAGAGTTTCAAAAACAAAGCCTCAATCTTTATACCATGTATATATCTAGTGTCTGCCCACTACCCCAGTATCTTTTTACGGTTTGAGTCATGCTACAATTAAGGTTCACACTGCATTTGGTTGTTAATATCTCTAAGGCCCATACGTGGGATTATTTAATGTATTTTTTGTGAAAAAATACGTACAATATATGTGTTTGAAAAGCTGACTGAATTTGTTTTCTTGCAGAATTCTGTAGCAAAGCCAATACAAAAATCAGCTAAAGCTGCCACAGAAGAGACATCTTCAAGATCACCAAAAATAGATCAGAAAAAAAGTCCATATGGACTGTGGATACCTGTCTAAAAGGAGAAAAACTAATGGCTAAGTTTGCATGAAAACTGCACTTTATTGCAAGTTAGTGTTTCTAGCATTATCCCAGCCCTTTGAGCCATTTAAGGGTAATCTTGCGTTTAAAAACCAACACAAAAAGATGTAAATACTAATACGCAAATATTAACCTTTTAGGTTTCTCTTGCAGATATGAGATAGCACAAATGGACCAAAGGTTATGCACAGGTGGGAGTCTTTTATATATAGTTGTAAATACTATTGGTTATGTAAAAGTGAAATTTTTTAGACACAGTATTGAATTGTATTCCTGTTTTGTATATTTAATAAATTTCTTGTTTTCATACTTAAAATCTTCGTTGTATATATTACCTAATGAGTCTTTACAAGGAGACGCCTTTTGATTAAAGCCTTGTTAATCCCAAGTCCAAGGCTGACTGGCCCTACCTGGGGTTTTGAGGAGTGCTGAATCTCAAGTCCATACCCTAGACCTGCTGAATTTGAAACTGAATTTTAACGATCTTCCCAATTGAAGTCAATACTTCAATTTGAAAAATTGCTTAAACTCTTAATTTGAAATTTCTTAGTGCTACTGTGACTGGGAAGGATCTTAATTAAGGACAAAAAATTTTAAGTGGGCATTACACTTAACTGGAAAGTCTAGACAGCTGGTCTAAATAAATAAGACCGATTTTTATAGATAAATAGACTAATTTTTAGAGGTGGGTTCTTTGCTCCACCCCAGGCTGGAGTGCAGTAGAATAGCCACAGCTGACTGCAACCTTGAACTCCAGGGGTCAGGCAATCCTGCTTCAGCCTCTACCATACAGGCTTATGCAATCATACCTGGCTAATTTTTTTTTTTTTTTTTTTTGGTAGAGATGAGTGGGGTCTCTGTTACCTAGGCGGGTGTCAGCTTCTGGCTTCAAGCAATCCTGCTTCGGCCCTAAAGTGTAGGGATTACAGGCCTGAGCCACTGCCTGGCCTAAAATAGTAGTTTGATCAGACGTTTTTTAACTGTCTTAAAAGGATATTTGGTTTTTGAAGGATGCATTTTATAGAATGCCATTAGAGATCAGTCTTCATGGGTTTGTCCCCATAAATGGACTTGGGCTGTGCAATGGAGCATGGAACAGGAAAGTACCTGTAACTGTGACCACTTCTGGGGGAGAGGGACCAGGGTGAATTTCCAGTAGCCATTGTCACCTTGCTTTCACTATATAGCTTGCAAAAAAATTAGCGTCCTACCTCTGAAGCTCCCAAGTTCAACTCTAGGTCAAGCCAGATGTACCACAAATTTCAAGATGACAATGACATGTTTGTAGCTACGAATTTTAAGTCCAGTAGGTTTCACACATTAAACAGAAGACAAGTGAATAATATACAGATAAATGTGAAAACACATCGGAACACTTTTTTTTTGAGGCGGAGTTTTGCTCTTGTTACCCAGGGTGGAGTGCAATGGCGCGGTCTCGGCTCACTGCAACCGCCTCCTGGGTTCAAGCAATTCTGCCTCAGCCTCCGGAGTAGCTGGGACTACAGGCGCGCGCCGCCATGCCCAGCTAATTTTTGCATTTTTAGTAGAGACGGGGTTTCACCATGTTGACCAGGATGGTCTCGATCTCTTGACCTCGTGATCCATCCGTCTCGGCCTCCCAAAGTGCTGGGATTATAGGCTTGAGCCACTGCGCCCGGCCCAGAACATTTGTTTACAAATGACAAACACGTGTTTGGCCAGGTGGCAGGTCTGAGCCAGCCTCGAGACTATCCATCCGTTTCCGGTGCAGCGGCCGGGATTTGCGCAGTCTCCGGTTCGTGCTTCTGGGCGCCGTGAGGAGGAGGGTCTTCAGGCCGGGTGGCTCGACTTCCCGGACAGTCCTGGCCGAGGGGCTCCTCCGTCGACTCAGCCTCACTGTCTGCACTTCCCTCTCCCCCGGCATCTCCCCCTCTAGGACAGACCTAGCCGCAAACGCCTCAGCTCGCCATCCCCGGGCAAAGGCCTACCACCCATCTTCTTAGCCATCGTCTCCGCCATGCCCTGGCAACGCTTCCCCCCACTTCCGGTAACAACTGCGACCCCGGGGCTCACTTTTGGCTACCAGGCCGCCGCACTTTTCCGGAGATAACCCGGTCCTTCCTTGGGGGAGCTCTAGAGCAGAGACGGCAATCCCCGCCCTTGGCAGCCCTGGGCTGTGTCCGATTGGGCTAGGCCTGTGCGCAGGCGCATTGGGTGGAGAGATCTGGACCTGTGCGGGAGATGCGAGGATTCCGAGAGCGAGGTTCTCAAGTCAACCAGGGTGAACTTATCTCAAAAACAAAACGAAACAAAAACCTGGAGGCAGACGTGTCCCCCTCCTTCCTCAGATTTCCTTAAATGCCTTTCTTCAGGGAAGCTGGCTTACGACTTGAAAAGTCAGTTTCCCCTGTTACAGCTCTAAATACATTTTCGTCTTTGCAGCACTTAACATAAACGTAATTAAATAAATGTGGAATTTCTTGTTTAATGTAGATAATTTTTTAAAATGTTTTATACAATTTTATTTTTAAAAATCTTGTTTAATGTACAGGCATTGGCATATTTTAAAAACAAACTACATAAACAGATCTTTCCTATAACCTAGGAAAGTGGAAGGAATGTCAGAAGTCAAAAAAAGTGATAAACTTAAAAGTGCTAAAACAAGGCACTTGACAAAATCTGTTCACTCAAACAGTTATATATCCTCGTTTACATCCTTCACTTTACAAGTGGCAGCGAATATCTGGTTGGATAGAAGGACGTACACAAATACAGGCAGTTTCGTGGCAGTAAAAATATAAGACAAACAGTAATGAGCCCTTGGCCAACTTGTTTTTGATGACCTGTCGTGTCCTTTAACTTTCCTCTTGTAAGAAGAAAAAACGGAAGGATTCACAATTAGAAGAAAAGTTGAAATCCAGAATATAGTTACTTTTGGGAGTGGGGAGGTTTGTGGATATTAAATCACTTATCCCCTAAGGCAATCAGAGCCCTTTGTTTTTATGGTTGAAGTTTTGTGAAGTAAAGAAAGTGTTAGGGAAGAACACTTCAGAATCAGTGAACTAAAAGGTGTTAAATAATTATTTTAAATACTTTAGAAATCTAAAATGTTATACAGTTAGAGGTAGAAAACAGTCCCAAGTTTCCATGGAATCTAATAATTTAGTATCTGGACATCAAACAGATCACAAACTCCTTCATTATCATCTAAATTAAAGTTGTAGTCATCTGCCAGGGTAGGAGAAAGCCTTAAGAGAGGAAACACATCAGAAGACATTAACTCATCAATGATAGCTCCAGTAATAGATCCTGCTGAAGATATATCTGTAGCTGATGTCTGCTGCAGAGTCTGGCTTCTTTCAGAGACATGTTGCTCAGGCAGGTTTTGAGTTACTGTGCTGGATTTCTGTGGAGTCACTGGAGTCAGGGAATGAGAGGAAGGCTGTGTGAGGTCATCAGGTGGGGGAATAGGAGAGACCACGGGCTTAGATGAACTCGAGTCTTTATAAGCAGCACATGGATAGGTCCTGAATGACTCTTTAGATTGATCTGGTATTTCTTTTGTCCATTCTGACCCATTTCTGGAATGGGTACCTCCAGTTGTGTACCAGAAGGTGCCTGAATGGCCAAAAGTGTATATCACCATTAAAGCAATTACAGATGTCTTCATGAGTTACATAGCAAAATCTATTATTAATGGAGTCGTCCATTACATTTTTGATGCTTTGCTGTAGCCACAACTTCTGCTGATCAAGTTCTCTTTCCTTCAGTTCTAGATCTTCAATTTCAGTTTTAAGATATTTTAAGATTATCTATGACTTCTTTAGTATTACAGCCAGCACCTACACCTTTCCACTGGATACTGTTTTTGACTTTTTTTTCAATCAAGTCAATTCCCTCTAAGACATTGGTAATATCATAAATTCTCCCTTTTTGCCTCACAGCCAAAGTATCAGCAGTCGCTTTGAGATCCAGAACGCCGTCCTTGGCCTCCTGCAACAGCGACACGAACTTGGTGAGCAGCCCCAGGCTCTTCTGGTGCCTGCTGTTGTCGCCCCCAGCGCCCCCAAGCTGCTGCTGCGACGGCGGC